TTTTTATAATTTTTCCCCCCCCCCCCCCCTCCCAAAATTTTAAACTTTTTTTCACCCCCTCCCCCCCCCCCCCCCGGAGCTTGACGTACTTTATGGACGGCCCCTTATGCAAGCACATTGGCAGTTAAATAAAATATTCTGGTTGGTTCATTGAGATCGAGACCGCAAAGGCCAATCACTTTTATTCTAGTTGCTTAAGGTATTAACATAAAAATGGGGTACATTTAACCTGAAAATATCCTAATTATTATTATTTTTAAAAATATAATAATTTAAAAAAAAAATTAAAGACTACGAAAACCGTACTTTTTGTAAGGCTCGTCGTAGTGCCGTGGTCTATGGCTTAACAACGTAATGACTATGGCGAAAGCTTAGGGGTAAGCAGGTCTATTTTCTCTGTAAATATTTTGCTCAAACTTTTTTTTATTATGAGATCGATTCAACCTTTATATTGGACAGAGAGAAGAGTCTTTATATTTAAATGCTGTATTATTTATTGCAAAAATCGTAAAACATTATTGTCTTATGTTCAAAAGCTTTAGTTTAATGTTACAGAATAACAGGTTTTAACATTATAATTGTGTAGAGGATGGCCCTCTTCGCGCCGGCCCAAAAAGCTTTCTGCCCTTCGGGCGATGGCCCAAAAAGCTTTCTGCCCATCGGGCGATGGCCCAAAAAAGCTATCGGCCCATAGGGCGATGCCCAAATTTGCCGATAGTTAGTGGCGTAGTTAAAGTTTTTCCCGCCCGATTCGGGCCAAGATTTTTTTCAGCCCCCCATTGCACGAAATATACTGTATATGGTGATTTTGAACAAAAAATGCCCCCTCCCCTTTCCATTCCATGTAAATAAAAAGAAGTGCCCCCCCCCCCCATGACGGACCGCTCAATCCTTCCACCGCCACTGACGATAATTCGATCCGCGCTTACCATTTATGACGGACCGCTCAATCCTTCCACCGCCACTGACGATAATTCGATCCGCGCTTACCATTAGTACTATACATTACGTTATTACAAGTACGTTGAAGATGAAATCATCCCCCCCCCTCTCTACCTCCCCACAACCAAAAAATTGTTACACTGTGGGTGGTGCCTAAAAAGCGGTTGGCCTATAGGAACGGATCTCATTTGCCTTTAACACAATCTCTAAAGTTTAGGCTAACCCAGCATTGCACAAATGAAGTGATGAGACCTAAGTATTTTGTTTAAGTAGCGTTTCCCAAATATGTTTGGTGGACCGGTGGGCAGGTCGACCGGTGGGCAGGTGGACGGGTAGGCAGGTGGACCAGGGACCAGCGTGAAACTTGTTAATTGTATTTTCTCTTTATTTGACTTTAAATATTCATGTTATAGGACCCGTGGACCGGTGTGGACCATCATTTTGGGAACGTTGTGTAATGAGGACCAATGTTCCCTTTAAGCTACGCGGCCGCGCAGTAATCTCATATACGCCGCACAGCAGTTTTGAGTACCGGTACCACGCAGCTAATTTCCATTTAAGGGTGTGTTTGTGTCTGTAGAATCTGAGCACAAAAAAAATTGATGCTGTAAAAATGTGCACACAAATTTATGATTTTGAACACGAACCAACAAACCTTAGAGGGAACATTGGTGAGGAGTGTACCGTTTTAAGGTTTGCCATCTCTTATATATTATATATGGCTTCTGGTTCGTTCTGCTCCCCCTTCATCCCCCCCCTCCCCGAACTCCATATGCTTTATATTAATAATACTGAGCGAAAAAGACTGTCACGCACGAGTTTCATGCATGACTTCTGAGCTCGGATAAATAAGTGATTTTATTCTTTAGCGGGAGGCGAATATTATTGGATGTTGCGATTTGTTCGTGTTCCTTTGTCACACAGCGTAACGTCTTTATTCCGGTTAATAGGTAGCTATTTTCTTTACACTGCGACTGTTGTTTCATAAGTATTGGTATATGTTACAAAATGAACAACATTATATCTCTGTCGTGCAACGTCACCTCTGTTCCGGGATCCGCAACTGCCTGTTCCTATCAGTGGGTTTTTTCTTGACACAAACGATTGACGAAGGCAATGCACTCTCACTACGATATAGGGCAGTAGATTTCGTTGTTTATTATAGCAAATGAGGGCCTGGTGTAAAAAAAATATAAAAAAATGCTGTCATTAACTGTGTTAAGCCCTCGGAATTATGATTCCGCGAAGCCACAGATAGTACACAAAATATTACAGGGAAATAAGCCGGAAGTAAACACGTAAAAGTAAAGGACAACTCAAAATAATTCGGTTTATCCTGATACACTTCACTTGTAAGTTTATCAGCTAGTAAACCTACAAATAAGCAAAAAGCTTTATGTAATCTGAGCTGAGATCCACTACTATTTATTTTTTTAAACATACACATTACAATGAGGAAAAAATGAGACTATATTTAAGCATAAGATAACGCCTACTAATTAGTTTATTTATAGTATAGCAGATGGCTGAGATGGGATTCGATAGCAGATAGTATGAGATAGGCATGGTACACCCGCTTCAATTCAACTATAGTTAATAGACTATAGACTATAGCTTTGATAAATAACTCAGAATAACTTCACTGGTTCAGTAGTACCAGCCGTATAACTTTATAAATATTACCTTAATATTATTACTATACTATTACTATTATAGTATTATAGTTATAATATTTAATATTAATTAATATTATATAGTCTAGTATAATATTGAAAATAGTAAGTAAAATATGTGTGAATTGTATTAATAAAAAAAAAAAGTATTATAATTAGACTATACTTTATAAGTACAGGATATTTTTAAAAAAGGTTAGGAATCACTGCTAGTATTGTTTCTGTCTATTATAGTCTATATTATTAGTATTATGTAGTGTAGGCCAAGGTATTATTATAATAGGCTATCGGCTAGGCCTAACTATGTGGCGGGTACTGACCCGGATACCCAGAAATGCTGAGTATTACTATTATTACACCCCACCCCCAGCATATATCCAGACCTGCCAAAAAAATTAAGCTGGGTCTAAGAAGTAATAAAAAAAGAAGGTAATTGTCCAGTTTAGGTGCCCAACTTTACAACATTAAACTTGTAATTAGTGACAATAAGCACTTTATTTAAGCATAAAAATGAAACAGTATGAAAATCAACTTGTTTAGTTATCAGCAACTGTAGCCGGCAGAATGTGTTATAGTTCTTGAATTTGTTCAGAATGATAAAATCATGGATGTGTAATTGCTAGTGCAGCTAAAAGAACAGTGTCTAATTTTAAGACCTACAGATACAAACATAAAATGTTAAAACAAAATGTAGGAATAGGGTGATACAAAATGATGAAAACCTTTCATTTGAAACTTAAAAAATATAAATGATTTTATTGATAATTAAATGCATTCCAAGATTTATGTGATTATTATTTATGAAAACTACAATCCAAAAATGTGCATGACTTAAAAACTCTCTTTCTTTAGCTTTGAATAAAACCTATCAAAACTCTTATTCTTTAGCTTTGAATAAAACCTATATAACACAACCCATTTATTGTGGTCAGCCACCGACATTTCAGGAATTCTGATTTTGTAATCCTCTTTAATAAAACATTCATTTGCATTTTAATGTTATCAGAATATCAGTTATGTTATCTGCCAAAGGAATTGGAATAGCTTCAGGCCGAAACATTGTTCAAACAAAAGAAAAGCAAGATTCTTTATGGTATTTTCTGCAATAGTATTTTAGCTGTTTTGAGCAACTAAGTAACTAAGTAAATTGCCTCTGGAATTTTCTCAGGTGTCTTCATTCTTTTGCTAAATGATAAAGACTATTCCTTGATTGAATTTTAAAGCTCATTCAACAAGTGGTGTGGGACAAATGTGACTGTGTTTTGTGTTTAATGACTGCTTAAAATGTTAGGTTCCATACTTAACTTGCTATAATATGTCTGCAAACTAAACCCTAGGAACAAGAATTATTTTCACCACAAGACTATTTTAACCTCAGTTTCAAGTAAATTTTGCAGTGTAGAGTATAAATGAGGCCGGAAAGCGTTTCCTTTACACTTATTTCCTTCTAAAATAGACAGCTCGACATTTGATGCATGCTTTAATTCCTCTATTGCTGCCACATTTTGTTCCAAACATCTTAAACATTATCTTCACCAACTTTTCTTTTATATAAAAATGTATCCAATGGATACAAAATTTAAAATTAAAATTTCATTAATAAACACCTCAATAAACAGTGACTTTTAAAAAAAAAAGTAAGTTCAATTTTAACAATTTTGAAACATCAAAATCTTTTCATTAGCAATAATGAGTCTGAATAATCCCAAGTTGCACTCCATAAGAAACCATGAAAACTAATGCATGGGGCTAAAATTAAAATTTAAGATCAACCAAATTAGAAAATAGGAAGTGCATTTAGCGCAGAAGAAATTTAGAATGATTTAGCCCTTAAAAAATTCGAAACTGGTGTGTTTCTCTCCAGGAAAGGAAAGGATACAGAGTAACATTGCATGATCCGTATTTATGATCCACTCCTTTGATGTCTAAATCATTATTGCATATTTTTGCGTGACACATCTACAACCTGCAGGTGACACACTACTGTGTTGCCACCCACAGCTTGGAAAGCACAGCAATAGTGTTTCACCGATTATAAAATCATCCGTTTACCAAATAATTGGTTTGCAATTAAGCAGATATTTGTTTTTTATTTGGCTTTGAAATGCCTATAATAGGGGTGAAATTATTTAATGTTGTTAATTTATTACATTATTACATTATTGTATAATGACCGAAAATTAAAATATATAATTATATAATATGACATAATAAATCACAATTATAGAGTTAAGATTTGGAGTACTTCAGTAGGTCCCAATGTGGAGGGCGTATACTGCACTTGGGACAATTTGAAGATTATGTGGGGATATAAGGACTGACAGGTATGGATGTATTTACATATCAAGGGGCAGCAGAGTAAGACGGGACCTCTTTCTTTTTTAACTCCTCGGCATGGGTCAAAATTTTTTAAAATTTCTGTGTAAAACTGATGTAAAATCTAGAAAATTTATTTTGTATTAACCATTGACGTAGTTATTCTCCTAACGTTGACTAGTACGCAGACTATATTTTATTAAGCCCATTATACTACCTGTGCTTATTTAACTAGGCCTAAGTAAAAATTAATAATAAATATAGGTCCACTATGATTGATTAATATTAGGCACCAATAAAAAAAAAGTATACATTTTTTAGACGCACTTATGGTTAAAACTAAAATATAGAAAATAATAAACTCTGTCGTATAGGCCTACTTACTACTAGATTAATTAATGCAAGCAGCCTAGATAGAGTGTTGAACTCAGTATTTTTTAGGGTTATCAGGGGTCTCAAACTTGTGGTTTGGCTTCTAAGCTTTTATCCTGGCATTGTAGCCCACTACCATTAAGTCTAAGTTATCCCTGACACATGGCATTGTTACAATGTAACACAATAATCTTTAATTCCGAGGGATGATGATCCATTCAATGGCATTCACAAAATCTAGAATCAAATAATATTCCATCAGTAGCGCTAATTCTAAGTTGCCGCATAAACTAATCAGACCACATTTTGATGATGACTATGATGCAACTTTATATTGTAGCTGTTACCTGAGGCTGAGCGAACATCCCGAAGATGCATAACTCAAGTTTATTTTTCTTTCCCAGATGTCTCTTTTTACGAATCCCAATATTTTTAGTGTGAGGGTGAAATAATCAAGATTGATAATTATGACCTTTGAAATATGGCTTCATCATCTAAGAAAATAAAGCTGCTGGAAGAAAAAGAGTATTCCGGTTTAAGTGGGCGGCGAATATGTAATTTGTCACAGAGGCCAAAGGTAAAGTTCAATGTGTTAATTTGCCTTCAAACAATAGCTGTGCTGAGAGTGAAAGAATATTAGATTCCTTAACAATGCACAGTGAGATGTTGATGTCATCACAAGCAACACAAGAGAGAAGAAAGGCAAGAACTTGAACTGAAATTAGCTTTATCAAATACAAGACTAATTTCTTTGCAGCAAGCCAAAGAAGATGCAGTAATGACAAGCTTTCTAATAAGTAAAAATATTGCTGAACCATCAAACCCTTTAATTTACAACAGGTCTTTTTCCTTGTGTCTGTTAAAAAAACTGAAATTTTTTGTTTCGATGATCATGACTTATTTCAAGAAAAAAGCTTTTCTGCTTATCTGCTATTACAGAATTAAGGAGCTAGCAGGCAACGAAAACTAACTACTGATTTGAAAGATTAGAAACCTTTTAAAAACATTTTGACAAGAGTACACATTTTTGTACCGGTACAATACTTCACCATGTGAAAAGTTTCTTAACTGGCACAGACGTCAACGCAAATGTAACAGAAGAGTTTGCAGACTTAGTTCCACTGAGGGGTACCACCAAACTACTTTGAGATCACTCAAGTAGTTCCATTGAAGGGTACCACTGCTCAACTCTTACATCACTCAAGAACTAGAGAAATACATAGGAAAAAGTAACACATCTATTAAGCTCTCATTTTCTCAACTGGGGAGTCACATATTAATTGTCTTCAGTCTGCTGTCAGGGTGATTTGAGTTAGAGACCCCTGAAGTGTAGGCTAAATAATATAGTAATAGTATTATGTAATACTATGTTTGTGTTTTGAACAATAAATAAATGACCTAGTGTCTGTTGTAAGAGGTGCTTCATTAGTGCTTCACCATTAGTTTACACCAAAAAAAAGCAACATATTGCATAAGAAATGAGATAATAAAAATATTAAACATACGGTACCGTAAAAAAGATTTTATTTATAACATTTTTAAAACAATCAATAATCACCACTTGAGACACTCTGGATTTGATACAAAACATTTCGTTTCATTTACCTTAAGTCTTAAGTTACTTTCACTTAATCATTTATATTTATAACCACCTGATACAAACATTCTGTAGCCCACTTAAAATTACTGTTCACAAATTTCAAAAACAGGTCTTTGAGCCCGGCCCAACCATGTCTCAAGATGGCAGCGATGTGGACAACGAGAATGTTCAGAATGTAAGTAGAAGTAGAATAAATGAAACTTTAAAATAGGTGATTGCACTAGAGCAAATGCTTGCAAACTTGTTGAGCTTATCAATATCTCAAAATACGTCTGTTATCCCCAAATGTTGTGAAGGTGGCACAATACCTTTTTATTTAAAATTATTCTCACAATTAAAAAATACACTAGAAAAATTAATGTGTACGGGTATGAAACTTCCCACCAAAATAAAGGGCAACAACAAATATAAAAATACTTAAGAAAATAGCACATTTCCTCATTTAATTCAGAAAGAAAACTTTTATTGTTGCAGTTAGCATTAAAGTACTTTCTGTGGCCAGGAGAATGCAGTGTGGTGAGCTCATTGCTCACGTCTGTTGAAACCATCATTACTTTACAAACATTGTATTATCACAGAATGTATTTACCCGGTACAAAAAATTTGTGAAAATCTTTTTATGATTTTTTTCCCCCTGTTATTTTTTTAAGAGACAGCATAGACTCTTTGAAGTTGCTTTCCAAAGCTGGAAGTCGGGACTTTACACGGATGTTACGTTTTTGATTGATCAGGAGAAATTCCCAGCTCATCGGCTAGTCATGGTGGCCTTGTCAGATTACTTCTCAGCTTTGTTTAAGGTAATTCTATTTTTTTGAAATTCAGATTTAAATATTACTCATGTAAGTGAGCAGATAAAAAAACTTGTAAAAATTCAGCTTTAACATCAGCAATTTAAAATTCTTAAGTCATATTTCCTGCTCTTATTTTTTAAAAAATCATAACAATATTTTAAATAATATATATTTTTTAAAAAAACACATAGTGGTAAAAATATTTTTCATTTAGTGCACGTTGGGTTGACTTTTTCGGATAAAAAATTTTTTAAACTAAAAATGCCATGTTTAAAAGAAAATAAGAATAATACGAATAAGCTATACTAAAGATCAAGCTTCACTAATACTAAATTTTTAAAAACGGTTATGAAATATGTTGCTCATTGTCTTGGCGAAGTGTTTTTTATTTTTCTTATTTCATTCTAAATTTCGGTATATGATATGTTTTTGTGTGAGAGTCATTTGTTTAAAGTAACCAACTTCACCCTTTGATTTTGTGTGTTGAGAAAAAAATGTATGAACCAATTTTCTTCCTTGTAAATGTTCGCACTTACAAATTTTTTATGGTAAGAGTCGGAAAATATCCCTCTCTTGTACAAATTGATATTTCCCACCATACATGTTTTGTCTCCTCTGTATTTTCTGTAGAATAGTGAAAAGGAGTCTGGTGACATAACCCTCCACAATATATCACCAGAGGATTTTGCCATTATTTTGAAGTTTGCTTACACCGGTCAAGTTGATGTGACAAGTGACAATGTTCAAAGTGTGCTCACTGCAGCAGACTATTATCGAATTGACACCATGAAGAAAGAGTGCAGCAAGTTCATGGCATCCTCTTTAGATGTGGACAATGTCTGCGATGTTTTAATGTTTGCCATCAAATACTCTTTGCCCAGCCTGGAAGAACAATCCCTCGCTTTCTTGAGACAAAACTTGGAAAGTATTTTCAAAACAGAAGGGTTCTTTCAAATTTTGGATCCGTTGTACTTGGCCAAAATACTGGAGGATGATAACTTGGTTCTATACAACAACAAAGTTCTTCTCAAGTCTGCAGAGAGAGAAATCCTTGTCTTGAACACAGTGCTACAGTTTTTGACTGCGAGAAGAATTGATGATCCGTCAGTTTTTCAAAGACTGATAAGAGCTGTCCGGTTTCCTTTCATCCCAGAAGACGCCTTGAATCATTGCTTAGACAACTTTGAAAAAATTGAGATGGATTTACACGAGGATATAAGGCTGAGGGAGGCGGTAGAGGCGGAGAGAGTGGCTGCAGAAGTCCCAGAGTCGTGGTCACGGCCTAGAAAATTTACATCACCTGAGATATATAACACGGGAAGAAGAAAGCGTTATGCTGCTGGAGGGCAGATACAAAGGTCTCCTGAACCGCCAGGTCACTTGGTTGAAGATCTAAACCTTGAAATCCATAGGATTGATTTGTGGATCCGACTGTGGGATGGCCGTCCAGTAATTGGGGGCCTGCAAATCAGATATCGGGACCCTAACTCGGGTCACCTGTGTCCATCTGTGTATGAGAAAGGCGAGTGCCAACAGGGTATTGAGCACCATTATGTCGAGCTGCAGAAAAATGAATTTATTACAAAAGTTATCATCGGTAGCGGCTACCTGGTAGACAGACTTGGCTTTGAAACTAACTTGGGTAGAGACTACGGGCCGTTCGGAGGTCCAGGGGGCTCTGAGCAAAGAGAGGTGGCCCCTGACAGTCCATTCTCATATTTGTTTGACATCAACTGTGACAGCACGTCAACACAAGGTGCAGATGCTGTCTTTAACCTCATGCTGCGGTGGGTGGCATTTAAAGAATAATGCCTTGAAATTTACATCAGAAATTGATTTCAATTGAAAGGTTAGCACTTTTTGTGATTTATTAAATATTTTTTAAAAACAAAATTATTGTTGTAGATTCTAGGATTGCAACAAAATTATTGTTGTAGATACTAGGATTGCAACAAAAGTATTGTAGATACTAGGATTGCAACAAAATTATTGTTGTTGATACTAGGACTGCAGAGGTTTTTTTAAAAAAAAATGTCCATAACTGGGACTTGAGATGAATGACTGTAACACCAGGTTCATAGTGATAAATGCTTTCTTCTGCAGATCAAAATTAACTGACAAAATGGACACCCCCTTTTCAATGTGTTTTATTTATTTGCTCATTTAATCTGCCATGACCAAAATTTAAAATTAACCAAGATTCAACATCTGTTTAAATTTCAATGACTTTGACAGCAGCTTAAAAATGTCCACTGTCACTGGCGCAAGTCCTGATGAAAGTTGTGTTTCATGAATTCTTGAAATCATTTAACCAGATCTTCATATGACATGCCTCAATTGCAAATGTTTACTTGTTCTTTTTCTTATTTTGTTCATTGCTTCCTATCAGTGATTGCAAGGAGAATGATGGGCCTTTGTTAAATTATTCCTAGTCATGCTCACTGCTCCTATATAAAACTGCTTTATATGTGGCCTTATTATTGTTATATTCACAAGCTTTCAAGTCATAGAACCAGTTTGTGCTGGCAAAAAAAAAAGTATTTCTATAAAAGCAAAGCAGAGATACAGGTTGTATTAAAATTAATTCTTCCTGCACTGTGTAGTGCAACAATTTGTTTCCACATTTCCCTGTGCACAGACACATTGACGTATGTCCAATTTTTTAAATGTCTCCCTCAAAGTCTTTCTTGTTTCCCCATTTATGGTGTATAGCAAAGGCTGTATGCTCAAGACTGAGCAGCAGAGACCATTATGTTGAATCCAGTCACTGCACTCTGCTCCTTCTTTGTTCACATTGGCTAAAAATTTGCTGAAATCAGATGTTTAAAGAGAAGTGTACATTGTCAGTGGAGGAGTTTCTTGTGTATGATGTATAAATGAAGTAATTATTTCTCTCATTTCAAGTTATCAATAATTTGAAAGAGTCCCCTTATTTGGATGTTCATCATTGAACTGCTTTATCTTCTATTCCTGGTAGTCAAGTTTATTCAGTAATAACACTTGTAATTATATTTGATCTTATATATACCATTAATTCCTTTATTAATTTGAACCTTTGGCATCAACCCTGCAATATTGATTACTTTATATTACTGTAAAAAACAAAATACATGGCTTGGTTTTTGTACTTTGAAGAATAATTAAAGATTTATGTTTTTTTTTCCCCTGATTTTAATGGATTTTTGTGTGCCTGTGCAGACAAACCACTTATCTTGTTACATTATTTTGTCAATGTTTAAAATACCAGTATTATTTGATATTGTGTAAGGATAACTGCTTAGGAATGTGATCAAAGATTGTCTTAGCTAAGTCACTGAGTTTAGATTTGTACACTTTTACAACTGGTACTCCTCTGTGAAGATATTCCAATTGACTATTACTACTATTAGTTTTAATAAAGATATAATTACAAGACAGCATGAATTAATCAAAGCATTGAATAAATGATTTCTAACTGCTAGAATGGAAAACATTTTATTTTTGTTCAAGCAAGAAAACATGTAAAATATTAATGAATATCTTTAACAGGAAATAACAATCCAGATGTTCAACATTTTACATTACATTATAATATAATACACTATGTTCTAGATCAGGGGTCGGCGCACTTTTTCAGACATTAACCAAAATTAATTTTGTTTATGCTGAAGACGTTAGCCCCAATTTGAGAGGAAGAATGCAATAGATTATTTAAATTTAAAATTGGATGTTTGAATTTAGTTAAATGAAGATTACAATTACATAATGAATTTGATAAAATAAATTAACAAAATCCTCAGTATGGAAAAAAAGGATTTCTTTAAAAAAAAATTCACATCAAATTTTGAAGAAATAATGATTCATTTTCATACAAGGACATCAACATTGGGGCTTTTTTAAATCAGAGAAATTTGGATACTGTCTAATGGGGTTAAATTATTGATTTCTATGCTTTGTTTCTATGTTCATTGAGGGGTGACACCATGAGTTTACCGCACTGAGTGGACCCTATTCTAGTGATATTTCTCAGCATTAGATCAAACAGGCATATACAAGATGAGATGTAAGCCCTAGCCGTCAAGCCTCTTGTAACCACAGGCTATAACAAGGGCCAGATGCAAATTTTCTTTTGGAAAAACAAAAAGCTTTAAAATATTTTAATGTCTTTTGAGCCCTCATAAGCCCCAAGATTTCCATTGTTGCCCCATTGTGGGTCATTTAAGCAGTTCACTGTTTGAGATGTATAACATCTGTATTTTTATTAAACCGTTGTTCAGTTACGTTGTCCATATTTGCTTTAAAATATTTATTTAAACATATCCTTTTCCAATTGCATTTAACACTATCTATATCTTTGCTAAAAAAAACAAGAATAGACAATTTAGAGAAATCTCAATCTTTCAGTTTGAAGACATGATAACTTATCTACAAAAGTGAGAATCTCATGAAGGATGGTTACCTGAATTGACCAAAGAAAATCTAAACCCAATGACTGAATTATCTTGATTTTTCTTCCAGGTTAAGGAATCACAATATCACTATGGCATTTATGTTAGCAGTTTTTTTTCTTTTGGAATAAACTTAACTAGTGAACATCCAACAATGGTTTGTGATCTTTGAATAAATGAAATATTTCTCCTTTTTCAAGTCTACTTGAATTAAGTTGTACAATAAGTATTACCAACAATTATACAATTCAGTTACACTTTACACTGCTTGTTCATATATGTTGGTATATTGCCTATACACCGAATGTGTAACTCAATATTTTACAAATAAAAACTATGCAAGTTTCATCTTTACTAAAGTGTCTGGTTGATAAACTCATTGTTTATTTTACGACAAACAACAAAACTTAAATGGCGTTCAAGGGCCAAAAAAGAATTTAGAAAAAAAATTGTAATTTCTCAAAAAGTTCTCAGCATAATAATAATGAATGAGGGAGGCGTGGATTAAGAAAACAAATATTTTATATGGCCAAGTTAATCTTGCAATAGTAACACTTCAATGAGCACCAAGCTATGAAAGTACACATATCAATTTTTAAAAAAACACACCTTAATATGACTAAAATGACAACAATGAAAAGCACAGGTGAAAATGAAATGAAATGTTTAATGAAGTGAGATGAAAATGTCAGTGCCAGACAAGGCAGGTTAAAAAAGTTGCATAAATACATTGAAAACTTATACAGGTTTTTTCCTTCTTTGATGTTTTAGACTATTGTTTCTTTAATTTTAGTTGTAATTTTTCTAATAAATTTTGAAAATCCATTAAATATATTTAGAGAAGGGAACAACTTTTGACCAACTTATAAATAAGCTAAAAGAACAGCTGACATTAGATAAGTACTTTAGGAATCTGATCTGGGAATGTAAACTTGGTATTTTCATTGGTGGCACATGAGTCTTTGCTGGGAATAGAACACACAAAAAATAATAGCCATTATTCATCAAAGACACAACCATTTTACATTACTCAAAAAGTCCAAAATATTCTAAACGAGGTAATGTGATCAGTGGTGTGCTTTGATTAACTTGTATGAAAAATGCTGATATCATTTAATGAAGTATTCATATTTAGATATTAAATTTTTTTGTTTACAGATATATTTTAAAATGACAAAGAGGTTAACTGACATAAAACAAAATATCAACATTTCTTTTACCATGTAATTTCATTTAATTTGAACCAATATTATAAAAAGGCAAAAATACCTGCATATAATGAAACAAATATTCACATAATATTGTAACAAGATATAAGCTTATACTTATATAAGCATAAATCTTCAATGCAAAAAAAAAATAATTAAAAATTGAAAAAGATGCCGGTGGCACTAATTACCTGCATGAGTTAGTGAGATCATTGTTAGGTGGTAAGTCTATCTTGTCCAGAGACACTGTTTCTTTGAAAGAGGAAACCAAAGAAATGTTTAATTGCTTGTTCAGACTTGCAACTTAAACTTAATATTTGATTCTTTACCTATAGACTGCCTCAACCAATTTCAGTCTATTACCCAAATGCACTAGAATGGTGATTTACAATATTTGATTCAAAATAGAATGTACAATGATGTAAACCTACCAGTCTTTAATTATTCAAATTATCTCTGTAGCATACCCAGAGCTGGGGGGGGGGGGGGGGGGGGGGACGTCTTAAGTCATGAAAATAAAATGCATTGACCGACCTGTAAGCAGCTCCACATTGCGCACACCACCAAAGAAATCAGTGAGCAGGGTGTCGGTGACGTTTCTCTTAAACAGGTCTGTTCGTGTACTGACAGTGCTGATGCAGTGATGCTTGGGGCAAACTTTGAACTGAAAGCCAAATGGATTTACTTTGTACTTGAAATTAATTTCTGTATGTATTAATTTGGGGGAACAATTAGTCAATTAGAACTTTGAGAAAACTCACAAATGTTGCATACACGCTTGTGAGCCAGCTACACCACACAAGGAATTTGTCAAGTTATAAATAATAAGAGGCCAAAATGACAATTTGAATGACATAATTACATACGAGGAAAACTCTCATAACACCTAGAGAGCTGATGACTAATTAGAAATGAAAAGATCTTGGGTGGTTAGGTGGCCCTATATAAAAACAAAACACAATAAAGATACACTGTATCATATCAGAAAGGTCATTTTAAAATCAAAATAAATTTCATGCAAGTTAGTGGTACCTGGTACTTCATTTTCACGTCTGCAAAAGTTTTCTACACCAGGGGTTAAGGTCATGGAGGCCTGTACTCCATTCACTTCCTGGTTTATAGAATAGTTTTAAAATATTTCATCCAATAAAATTATTTCAGGTGTTTACTTACAAACTGTGCCATGGTTTTCTTGGAGCCTGGTTTGACAGTCTCAAGAAACTCCAGTGCGTAGTATGTGTAGCGATCTATAACATAGACTCCTAACGCTGGGTCCACATGATGCTGGAAATAAAAATGTTTTTAAAAAGTTAGATGATCAACTTTATACATTATTGTTGCATGGACGGTAGGAGCAGATTAATAGTGAAGAGAAAAACAACAATTTCATTTTGCCACAAATCTTGCGACAGTTCACAAAGTCTGAGAAATCGGTGCCCACTTTGCAAAATAATTAATTGATTTTTAAGGCAGTTTTCTTTGTGTACGTTGGTGTTGATGATGTCTGATTGTGAGCCTTTCATGATTGGTGTTGATGATGTCTGATAGTGAGCCTTTCATGATTGGTGTTGATGATGTCTGATAGTGAGCCTTACATGAGTTCAGGTTTCTAAGACATATTTTGTGAGTCTTGACAAAGCTGTTATTGGCCAAGCAGTTTTTTTTGCGTGGTTTATCTAAGATCGCTGCCAGGCATGAGAATAGCAAAGACAAGAAAGATCAAAATATAACTACAGACATTATAATTATAGTTTTGTATGTAGAGTTAGCATCATCATCCATTTACAAATTTTCTTTTAAAAATTTGACCCCTTTTAAGGTTTTAACTTTTCTAAGACACATTTTGTGAGTCTTGACACGGTTGTTATTGGCCAAGCTGTTAGTGTTGGGTTTACTATCTAAGACAGAACTAAGAGCACTGAAACCTACAGAGAGAGAATCCTCCCCAACTCTGCTGCTGGCCACAGCCAACAAGTTCGGTGAGTAGAACTTCTGAAACATGGACTCAGCCTGACATGTGTCAATCATGAAGAACAGTTCATGGTATCTGAGGGAAAGGTCATGCACTTTAGCTTCAAGTCAACATTCTTACTATTTTAAACATTAAAGGTATACTTCACTTTCAGCATTAACTTTTTTGTACACTATCTGACCACATAATAAACAAAGGATAGGGTACCAGCAAAGGGATATAAGTCAGAATGTATTTATATTATATATACCGGGTATATATATATCACATGACAGTTTGCTGTCAAATAGATTTAATGCCAAAGCTTCAGCATTGACTTGACATACATTTGAAACTGGTGACCATCCCCAGTATTAAGCCCCTTTGAAAAGTGGGCAAATTGTGCCAAACATATTTTACATTTAAAAAAAAGATTTTTGCACGGTTTTGACTAAATTTCCTACCGATGCATTTGGTGGGAGTTGCAATCAAAATTTCATCACTCAATGTATGTGTTTAATATTAACCTAGTCAATCATATTAAATAAAATATATTTGAATGGAATAAGTAAATCACAAGTTTTTACTCAGTATTTACATGTCCAAAACATGTGTATTCCACTGCTTCATAATATTCATATATATAAAATACTGTATTTTTTAAACTCTAATAAGATTTTGACACAGTATTTTTCAACCATGAGAAGAAAGGAAAAAAAAAACATAAAAAAAAAAAAAATTTAAACATTTAATTCACTGACCGGGTTCAAAAAAACATTTTTTTGGGATGTATTGTTAATTATTATAAAGCAAATGATTGGTCAAAGAAGCTATTCCACTATTTATTTTATATCTGCTACCTTTGTTTCTGCCACATTTGCTCAAAAGCATCAGCGAGCTCTACACTGGATACTTCCTCTGCATCCTGAAACTTGAGAAATCCATCACCACCATGACCTAGGGCGTCAAAAAGCATTTCAAATTTAAATTTATGTATGAATATTCCAAATAAAAGTCACTTTGATGGATAAGTTAACCAGACACTGTATTCTAAAAATGGTCTGCAAAGACTGTGATGCATAATGTTGGCTGCATTGTTTTTTTTGGTGCAGTTCAATAATTTTATTTGCTTCTATTCAGAGCCTAGTTTTGAAAAGTTCTTACAGAAGCTCTTTCAGTTCACTATTTGATAAATCAATTAAAAAATAATTAATTATAAAAATGAACATATCTTTTAAAATTTTGACAAAAGTCTTTCATTTCTACTTGTGTAAGAATCCTTCGTTAAATCACTTAAACTTTTCCCATAACTCTTTTTGTAATGTTTTGATGCATAAATTGCATGTAAGTTTTAAGTTTGACCAAGAACCCACCAGTCATGTAGACCAGTATGTTGCTACGTTCATCAGACAACAAACGTTTTGAACGAGGCGTACTGGGAGGAAGTCTTCCAGTCAAAACGCGAATAAAATTCTCCACTGTGACCTGAAAGAAAATGAGTTAAAAATGGTAATTCTAATATTTTAAAGCAAAAAAAAAAAAAAAAAAAAAAAACTGAATGAACCGGTAAAGTGAAAATTAAATGTGTTTACAAAATAAGTTATATATATATTTACATTCAAAACAGAATCATAATGAACCAACCTTTTCAACAAAACTTAGTATTACAGACAGCTGAAATTATTTCTCATAACTATACTATATCTAATTGGATACTAACATTTTTAGTGATGTTTAATTATTTTCCACCCAAAAATATGAAACCCAGGATCATTTAATAAATTTAACCTGAACATGCTTTTTTGAAATCCTGTCTTCACCCTGCAGCCATGTTATAAATGTATAAAACAAAATTTAACCTCATATCCTCTATAATCCACCTCCACATCATCACCATAAACATTGATGTTCTGGTTGGCATTATTGAAAACTGTGGCTGGAGACAAATGGAGTAGAGAGTATGGTTATTCATGTTCTTAACACCAAATGGCTTCACATAAACAATGATATATTTTAAAATAAAGACACTGTACAGGCTTTAGATGGCCAGTGATGAACATCTAATTATGAATATCTAATTCAGTTATCTTTTATCAATACTGGTACCGTGGTACATCATATTTATTTATTTATTTATTTAGGCATTTTTATATAGCGCTTACCTTAAAGCTCTAACTCTAAGCGCTTTACAATTATTAAAAACATGTAAACTAAGTAAAATAAAAATGAGACACTAGGATAGTAACTACTATACTATAGAAACAATTAAAATGGCTATAAAACGAGAACACTTTGGCACATTTTTGCTTATACTACAGGATCAACAGAAAATGAGGCATGGCAAGGAGGGTGCATCACAGGTCATAGGCCGACCTAAACAGATGGGTTTTAAGATATCATCAATACCATGGTTTATCATATCATTAAAACCATCGTCCATCATTGGCAAGGATATAAATTATAAAAGAATTTTAAGAAAAACTTGTTTTTTAAAACCTCAAAATGAAGAGGAAAAGTTTGGCATAAATTAATTAGCCCCTGCCACACATTAAAAACTTTGCACATCTGTCGATTACAACTAGAGGAAATACAATCAAATTCAAATTTAAGAAAACATGATACAATTTCACTGTTGTGTAAAGCAGTTTATAAACCTATGTTTACCTGGTCTTGGATTTCTTGGATTGCATGCCATGTCATCTGCAACCATTAAAATAATTTGACTGAAATAAACCAAAAAATTTTTAAATTTATTTTGTATTTTTAATAAATTATAATGAAGTGTCAGTATTGGCAATTTCATTTCATTATGCATATATTTATTATGGTCCTTATATACTAAAAAAAAAAAAAGTTATAGATCTAATGCTATTTTTAAAATGTGTAAAAATGATTTAAATTTTTTAAATTTATTTTGTATTTTTAATAAATTATAATGAAGTGTCAGTATTTGCAATTTCATTTCATTATGCATATATTTATTATGGTCCTTATATACTAAAAAAAAAAAAAGTGATAGATCTAATGCTATTTTTAAAATGTGTAAAAATGATTTAAATGAGAAATCAGTACCGGTAAGTATTAAAAATTTGAATATCATCCATTGTGTAAAAGACTTTAAAATATTTAATGGATGAGAGATAATATCATCTCTTTATAATTAATAAAATTTATGGACAATTTTGTATAAAAATGTTTGTTTTTTTGCCTGGAAATTTAAACCATTTTACAAGACAGATTACCTGTCAGGAATGCCCAATCTTTTCACACTCCTGTAAACTGACAGAACATTGGCAACATGTCTATAGTTAAACCAAAATCTTGATGTATCAACAAGCACTGCCCAGTTATTGGTGTGGCCACTTTTGAAAAAATCTTCAACACTGTCCTGTGGTTAAAAATGTTAAACTTTTTAAATTTTATTATTCATACAGAGTAGGCGTCACTAGGGTTGGTGTCACCTGGTGTGGTAAACTCATGGTGTCACTCCCAGCCACTTCCCAACTCCCCCCCCCCCCCCCCTCCCCCCCCCCCCCCCCTTACCCTGACCTTACCCTGACCTTAAACTAATCTTACACTCATTTTACCCTCATTTTACCCTCACCTTACCCTCACCCTACCCTCACCCTACCCAGACCTGCACCCATCATACAGAATGACTTATTGTATTGTTCGTTTATTAAGCTCCAAAGCAACAAAAGATAGCGAGAACAAATAAAATATTCTGTAAAAGCATTTCAAAAATGCTACAACTGACTTTTTATTTAAATATTGATGATACTTTGCATTTAAAACTTTAATTTCCTGGTGTATAAAGAAGCAAACAAGTCAACTACTTCATCAAAATCAAGATTCTTCCTTTTATCACATTCAACTGACAAAAATCTCAAAGCCAGAAAATCTGGACTGTTCCATTGTAAATAGTTCTTAATAAGTTTCAGCCTTATACTTCAACTTCAATTAAAAGTTCACTTTCAGATAACTCATCATAGATAGTGGAAAGTGCTCAGTTTGGGAATGGACACCAGAAACTCTTCTTAAATCAACAAAAGTAGACTCTAATCTGAAAGGGCCTAAAACATATTTGCTACTTCCTTGATGGATCTTGATCTGATCTGGAGTTCAGCATGAAAACAATCAATATGATAATTACACTGTTCTGATTTCACCCAGTTCTGTTGACACCTTGTTATGGCAACTCCCTTTTCATGTGGCTTTCAGTTCCAGTGGCCCTCTGTTCCAGTATTTAACTGAATTATTTTATGAAACCAACTCAAGCGAACACTGTCAATTTTGAAATTTTCCTTTTGGCGTTGACCCCCTCTCAGGGTGTAACCCAGTGCGGTCTGCACCCCCCCCCCCCAGTGACACCATTGTTCATACATGCTAAACCCTGCAAAAAACCATTTAAACCAAAAGTTATTGTAAAATGATTTAGCTGTGTATTTTCAGTTTTTAACTGAATTATTTTATGAAACCAACTCAAGCGAACCCTGTCAATTTTGAAATTTTACTTTTGGCGTTGCCCCCCCCTCAGGGTGTAACCCAGTGCGGTCTGCCCCCCCCCCCCCCCAGTGACACCATTGTTCATACATGCTAAACCCTGCAAAAAACCATTTAAACCAAAAGTTATTGTAAAATGATTTAGCTGTGTATTTTTTTTTAAAATGAAGAAAATATAAGTATAAGGTTTTTCAGCAAAAAGCTCTTAGTCCTATAGAGTAGTTGAAATTTTTTTGAAGTAGACTTGTTCAGTTAAAGAACTGCATCAGTCATATTCATAGTGTACAACAGCATTTCCCAAAATTTGTTGTTGTTGTTTGTAATTCGGTTACTTTTTACTTCTCCTTCATGACCCAGTAAAATGTGTATAGTTTATTCTGGTCTCTAAATATTTAAAATAAAAACTATTTCAATTTTTTTAAAATAGCATTTTCATTTACTCTTACAAAAATGTTAATCAAAAAGAAACCTGGTAGATGCCATTTTTGTTTTCACAATCTATACAGTGCCTGGTTGACTCTCATAGTGATAAAACTAAAACCACTCAAACTCCAATCCCCGAACTATCTTCCCATGCATGCCTGGAAATTTAATGTAGGTACTTTGACACAAAATTTAAATATTGTCCAATTGCCATGAATGATACATCATTTTAAAGGGCTAGCTATAACCTTTATAACAACAACAATTTCATCTTTCTATCTTTTATAGAAGTGGAATTATGTTTTTTTTGGTGATTTGTTACAACCCCCTTCTTTATCTTTGTATTTAACCAAAAAAACTTGAGACCAACTTTCCAAATTTTTGCCTTATTTTGCCCACAACTTTTTTATTTTAAAAGATAATGCTACCAAATCCTCAAGAGACATTTTCAATGCAATATACAACACAATGAACAACACAACTTTTAAATAACATCAGTACTTTGTATTTTGAAAAATTTTATTTAGGGTATGTTAAGAAAAATGTGAACAGAAAATTTGGAAAAATCGTTACTGACAAAGAAAAAAAATTAACTTGTGCATTTGATTTGAACTAATTATATGCTTGTGTGAAATTTTAAATTAATTTGTGTACTCATAAAAAGGTAAGTAATTCCTTTTTTTTTTTTAAATTGAATGCCTGTATCATGTAATTAAAAATAAAAATCACTCAAAATCATTTTTTATCTATATTTAAGCATGCCTCTGTTCGTTGATCGAAGGAATTCCACCGAGTTCTGCAATAGAAAATTTTGTCTTGTATCTGAAATAAACCTAGAAAAACATCTTAATATATTCAAGCATAATCCTGAATATACAAAATTTCTTTTTAAAATATAATTTTTTTTTCAAATTATAATTATTAATTTTGTATTTATTACAACTAGTTTCGTTTTTATTTTATTATTAATTAATAATTATATAATTAGACATTTTTTGCTGATTCTATGTCATAGTCATGTCATTACCAGTACTTAACAATATATTAAATTTTATTATTAAATACCTTATTTAATTTAAAAATACTATTTAAATTTGGGCTTTAATTGCATTTGTTGTAATAGAATAGTACTGTTTATTGGTATTAGTTTTAAGCTTTAGTAATAGTTTAGGCTTAAACTATACCGGTACACACAATTTTCAACGTAATAAATAAAACTTAAAAGCACCCCTTGGTTTTGGTTACTACATAAACTTTTCAAGCTTGTTTATAATCTTTTCTTCAAATTATTTATTTTCAACTTCTTATAATTATTCAGATGTTTAAGGTTTTAACCATAATGAAAAATTTCATAATAGACAGTGATAATAGCCATTTCCGGCTTCTCAATAAAAAAAAAATAGTAATAATTTGGGGACATTTTCATACCCCCTCTACTTTGGGAGATGCTTAACTTTTCTGGGACATAGTCAATGATAATAACTCCAATAATGAAAAAACTCTCAAAATGAATGTCGTTTGCACTGAACCACACCATATTTGCCTAAAATAACGAATAAAACAATATTTACGTGATTTATATACTTACCGAGTCATTATAATAATACGGTGATCACAAAAAATCTTGAAGCATTAATCAATATATCACCGGAACACAAAAAAGGGATACGTCACTGATGAGGAAAGCAATTATTTAATAAACAAAAGTGACATAGAATGCAATTTTCCAAAGGTACCACATAGCTGTACGCCATATTGTAGAACAAGTTTTTTCAACATTTTTGGACATGCGCAGATCGGTGCGTCGACAAGTTTTAAAGTACCTATTTAATGGAATAGAGCAAACCACCTTAAACTTGAACCGTGCAAATGTTGCTCAACAGATTGATACAGTGTCCCCCATCTTCCTGTGTCATGATATGACATAATATATATTCTAATGATAAACTGCATTACATTTTACCTCCCAAAAACATCCATCTTGCTACTCCTGATTCAACCTCAGTTACTGTTTTAATTTGAGTAATTTTTATATTATGGAATGGTGTTTTTAGGAATATTAAGAACATAACCCCAACAAAGCAAGCACATGGCTAGGTTTTCAAATTTTTTATTTGCAGCCCAGTATTTTTGCCTCTGTGAGAAATGCTCCTTGTAGAAGTACTGAGTACGTAAATAGGTGTAAGTGTAAGTGTAGGCCTAAGTTAAAAATATAGACACAATTTCATCAAAATTTACAAATTTATTGATAATCACTCTGATTTTGCTCTCAATCTCAACAGTGTTCTGAAATCTGGACTTTAGTCGGCGAATAAGTTACTATAAAGTAATAAAGTCTGGGACGACTTAGTACTTTTACTTTTAAGTACAAACTTAGTAACCAACCAAGGTGAGCCAAATTTGTCACTTCACTCGTAGGAATTTCCCAGAGCAAACATTTTTCATTGGTCTCATAAATATATTGAAATACATTTAATTTGAATAACTTACAACATTTGTAGCTGAATTACTATAAACAAAGCCCTGAAAGCAACTAATAGAAAAAATAAATACTACTGCAGTTAACCGAGAAAATTTGTTTATACAGGGCGTCGCCATGTTGGAAAACGACCTGCCGTTATTAGGTATTCTTACACTTGTAGTTTTCGATAACTGTTAAAAATATTGAAGATATTGTTTTAATTTTTAAAAACAAGATTTTAAAATATAGAGACGAATTATTAAACAAAATCAGACATAAAATCATATGATTTAATAATATTTCTTTTTTTTTAAATTTATGATGCATGGCATTTCACTGACTGACAGTAACGTGCACCTTTGTTGTCATTAGAAACCAAACTTTACTGAAAACATCCTCACGCGAGGGTTTCGATTGACTTCAAATACGAGTGAGGAGTTTCGTCCAGCCGTCAAAATCAGTACTCAACCCGTTGCGTTTATCCGCTGTAAAGGCGGAAAGATGTCTACAGATGATGCTAAGGCATATTTATCTAGTCGAGAAGTGCCTCGTCTCTTTGAGGTATGATATTCTGTTTACTATTTAACACTTACATTGACTTAGTTACTAGTAACAGCTATAGCCTATAGTAATTGTAAATTGTGTCTGAGACCCGCTTAGGTTTTCTATAATAGGTTTGATTACTCGTTTATAAGAAGAGGAATTAGGTTAATTGTTGTTTGAATCATATTCGAAACTCTGACCGTCAAGCAATCAGCTAATCATTTGGATTTATTATATTTTTAAGTACTTTTTTTAAATTGAAATTTCAATCAATGACAATTGGATTGGTCTACATTGACTACACCAATGGTTCTCAAAATGGGCAGTGAGAATGCTTGGGAAGGGGATGTGTGCTAAAAAGCTTGGGAGATTTTAAAGGGCGCTGTGGCACCCAAATTGTTTCAGAAATACAGGTTTAAAAAAAAACATTAAAATTGTACATTTAAAATTAAAAAGATTTTTTTTTTTTAGATACTGGTTTGATTTTTAGAATCAAACACTTATCATATTTATAATATATAATACTCTTTTCCCACAGTCATACAAATTGAGAAAGATATAAATCATAATCCACTGCTAATTAACCAGAACTATATATTTTTAATTCAGCAAATATTTGAAGGAAAATGTTATCAATCTTATTAAAACCAAATCTTGTCCCCTTAGTTTGGTATCCAAGCCCAGTTTTGATTTACACTTATTTCAAATCCCATCTGAGCCAAAAAAGAAAAATTAGCAGTGATATATAAGATCATTACATCAAGTCTTACTATTACGCAACAGTTTGGATACGTTTTGTAAAGAGTGTTGTAGGAAATTTAAATTTAATGTCATTCTCTAACATTCAAATCCAATCTATACCCATGACAAAGTTAGCTAAGTGACGAAGTTAGGTAAGTGACGAAGTTAGCTAAGTGATGAAGTTAGCTAAGTGACGAAGTTAGCTAAGTGACGAAGTTAGCTAAGTGATGAAGTTAGCTAAGTGATGAAGTTAGCTAAGTGATGAAGTTAGCTAAGTGATGAAGTTAGCTAAGTGATGAAGTTAGCTAAGTGATGAAGTTAGCTAAGTGACGAAGTTAGCTAAGTGACGAAGTTAGCTAAGTGATGAAGTTAGCTAAGTGACAAAGTTAGCTAAGTGACGAAGTTAGCTAAGTGGAGGAGGGGTCAATGCACCCAGAGTTTGTGCTAGGGAAGGAATTGTTCCCAGCAATGAAATCATATAGAAATATGATTCCTAGTGAATTATTTTCCACTATACGACTTAAAATCTGTGATATAATTTGACTACCTTAATACGCTAATAATCGAAATCAAGTTAACAATTCCATTTAGAATTTGCTGTTGGATGTTACAGTTTAAAACATAATTTTGTATAATTTATATTTTAAAGAGGGTATATCAGGATCTTTGTAAAGACTTATGATAGGGTAAATCTGGGGATTTTTTGGGGGGGGGGGGGGGGGGGGGGGTTTATGAGGTTTATGAGGATGAGTTTATGGTTCAAAGGGAGCTGTGGACAAAAATATTTTGAGAACCACTGGTATACATGATTTAAGTAAAAATTTATTTTATACATGTATACACCTAATTAAAAATAGCATCCCAAAAAATGTTAAGTCTAAGACCCAAGAGGATGTTAAAACAACCAAAACCCCTCCTCCTATGCCACTGGCTGTTGTTAACAAACTGGTAATAACAAACCAAAAAATGGGGGCCGCAAGGCATGTACTTTCAAACTACTAAAGTTACTTGAAAAAAACATACATTCAAGTAATGCACTTTATCATGAGAATTCCAATTAATGCTTATTTATTTGAATTTTATTTTATGCGCCTATTGAACGCAGCGTCTTAAATTTGAAAAAAAAAAGATGCAGTAGAGTTATTTCATTGGCCATTCCTAAATGTGAAAGCCGCAATTCAGTTAATAAAGAAATTATCCAAACTGATATTAGTGAGGTTCTGAGAACTATTCTGTCAGTTCATAATCATCACACAATATAATCAACAGCAATTCTCTGGGTAACAGTTTTGTACAATGATGTATAGATAAAATGGCATAGATTACCATTTGTGCAGCATAATTAAGTCTACAGAGCTTGCATTACAACTGTATGAGTTGAATTTCTAGACTAAGTTTCTTCAGTTTTCATGAGTATATATTTTTTATAAAGATTACAACCAGGATAAAGAATTATCCTGATTACAACCAGGATAAAGAATTATCCTCTTTCAGGAAAGCTAGAGCAAAATACTAAAAGGGAGTGAATATTTTAAAGGGACTGAATATCTTGAAGGGAGATAATATTTTGTGTTAATGAGCAGTCCTTCAATGAAAAAAGACAATTAACATAACATAATTTTGCAATTGATGGTGCATCATTAAATATCAGGTTGACAGTCTGCAAATATTTGTTGTTTATTTTAAAAACAGAAACACATTGATCAGCTATTCTGAAAACTCTGAGTAAGTGACTAGTGTAGAGAACTTTGAAGATATTGAATCTTTGGTGCTTTGTACTGAAGTTTGTTAGCTGTATATTGGAAAGCATAATATAAATCACTGAGCAGGCAAAAATTACAGTTTTCTGGATTACTTTAAGGCATAAGTGTTTCTTTGAGTGCTTACCTAAAAGACATCACTCAACACATTGCTTATACTTATATATCAGAAATATATGCTAAATTCAAGAAAATTAATTTGCAATAATAAGATTTTTGTAATGTTATTTAGTGTTGCATGAATTCAAACCAGACATTGAAAAACTGGGCTCACTTAAGCAAGTCCATCCATTAACTTAAGAATAAATGAGCAGTGAAAAGTTTAGCTGTAGAAAAATGTTGCTCAAAATACCCCACTTAAAAAAAAAAAGAAGCTACGGTATCACTTAGTAAAGTTAATCAGTTTGTTACTTAATCAATGACCCTAACAAAAGCTTAATTTGGATTTTGAATAAAGAATCAAATGCATTTTAGTCTTTAACTCATCCTATTCCTCAGTTAGAGAGTTGTCCACGCTCCTTTTCTGAGAATGCTTATAACAGGGGAAGGGCACCAAGCATGACTTTATGAAACCAATGGGGTCTTCTTTGGTTTTTCAGCTCCCAGTGGAGCATATGCCATGAACAATTTCTTTCCAGGCTTTTCTGTCTCTTGTTAGCTTGTTATGCAGGCAACTTTTCATGTAGGTTTGCAGTCTTTTCAAATATTTCTTAGTTGATCTCCAGCTTTCCAAAATATACAGCAGAACAGACTTAACATTTGAGTTAATATCCTTTTTGTTTTTTTGTCCTCATTTGCCTAGAGTTCCAAATATGTGTAAGTAAAGCTCCTCTTACCGTCTGTAACCTTACCTTGTTATCTGGCCCAGATTCCCCATCCTTATCAACTATATTTCCTAGATAGGTAAAATGATCTACTTCTCTTAGTGCTTTTCCGACTTATCACTATAAATCATATGGTATTTGCATTTATTGTCATTACTTTTGTTATGATTTCATTTTTTGCAAGACATTTCTGCCTCTGGGTTGGTGATCAGAAAACTAGTGTGAGAGGCTCTGAGTTTTATTATGAATGAATGATAGTGTGGAAACATCAAGTAGCCTATCAATGCCAGGTGCACAGGCCAGCTAGCAAAATCAATATTTATTGATCTAGAGCCTGGGACAAGAACGATGACATGACAAACTGGAGAGAAAATGATTGCCACAACTTGACAATGTGTCCCATGTGAAAAAAGAAAATATCTCTGTACAAATAAACACTTATTAATTTTCATGTACATTAAAAAATGTATCAAAATTTATATATTATTCTTGTATCCAAAAAAATGACTTACCGGTAATTAAATTTGTCTTTTTTAAATAAAAATTCCATTAATCTAAATGTACATAGAAAAATAAAGATGGAGGAAAAAAAAAAGCATGCTTCATGCTGTTGCCATGGAAACATAATGTTGGCCTCACTCTCATTAAAGTAATCATTATTAATAGTTGTTGATGGAGTTTTGAAAGTAATTGTTCAAAGATGTATAAATATATTTGAGCATAGATTACTCCAATCCTTAATATTCTTCCTTACAGGAGCACTGTCTTTTTAGTGAATGGGATGAAAATGTGTTTAGTGTCTGATATACACTGATTAACCTTTGGTATTTCTTTCTCCTCAAACAATAATAGAAAACCAAATGAAACACAACATTTTATCTAGATATTAAATAAATTAAATTAAGAGAAGTATTATTTCTGATTTTGTGTAATTATGATTTGCTTAAAATGTTCTTAGAGAAAAAAGATAAGGGGGGAAAAAGATACTAAAATTCATTTTCTCCATAAATAGTTCTTTTTCTGTTGACGTGTTGAACTTATTTGAAATTGATTTCATTCTCAGTGCCTCATGACAGGACTTATGTTCCATCGTCCTAATGACCACATACAGTATCTGATAGACAGCTTGGAAAAGGTCAAGGCCTTAGGTCAGGCAGAGTTATCATGGAACATGTTTGTAGAAGTTCGTTCCGCCAAAACACCCCTGCCTCCTATCACTCCAGAAAATGGCAAACGGCCTCAGTCCAGGGGACGTCACTCTCAAAAAGGTAGGTGGCTACATCCGCAATATAACAACCACACATGCCTTCAAAACAGCACTCAAAACACATCTATTTAAACTATACTACTCTGACTGATTCTCCTCCTATAAACCGATAAACGTACATGGGTTTCCTTGTAAAAATGTCTGGCGTGGATGGATGAATATACCTATGGTGTTGTTTTGCTTATATGTTGTTTTTATTTCATTTATGTATTTCATTTTAATATTATGATTATGCCTCTTTGCTATATATGTACAGCGCGGTGAGCCCAGCCCTATGCCGGGGTACCGCGCTATATAAGACCACTTATTATTATTATTATTATTATTACTCTTTGTTGTGTGATTTTTATCAGCAATAGGAAACTATTTTTCAAACGTTCAAACACAAAATTTCCATACATTTGGCCATAAAATTTGTTGGCAGCCTGATATATGGATAGTGAATTTTCAAACAGCTGTAAATGAGTTTTCTCATTTTACCTTTTCAGCAAAAGGGTTTCTTTATTTATTAATTAACCTTTTTTTAATTCTTTTTATTACCAAAATTTAGTTTTTAAAAAATTGTCATTAACTCTGTAGGTTAATTTAATTTATATAATGTATTTATTGGCATATAACACGCACTTTTTCTCCCTGAAAATAGGGGGCAAATGATGTGTGCGTGTTATATGCCGATATAATGTTAAGGACCCATAGTACATACCGCATAGCGGCGCGAATGTTGTGTGTTATATGCCTGTGCGTGTTATAAGCCAATAAATACGGTATATATTTATCCAAAGATAAAAAAGAAGTAGCCCCAGTGTCAGTTTCAAAGTCATCTCCCTTACCACCTATTGGATCCAGTGGTTTGCCAAATGTGCCCATTGTCCTCATCATGGGTAAGCTTAAGTAAAAAAACTACATTAGACATGATTACACTAAGTAATGTCCATCTAAGAATACTGGTATTTTAGGCATTAAGTAATTTATTCTATGTGTAAATAACGTGTCCATCGACCTTCTGATTTAAAAATTATTTTAAAGAACTATTAGTTTTTACGTCTTATAAAAAATCCACTTTATAATCATAAAACAATGGGGTTAACTGTTGATGAAAAATTAGAAGAAAATAAAGACCAAGTTAAAGTGTTATTATATATATATATTGGGTTTATGTGGCTCTAGAAATGGTAACAATTCTTGCCATGGTGGATAATGTGGTGTGGGTAAAAAGTTTATCAGCATATGTTTCTTGATTAGGTTAACCTGGTATTGCAACAATTTTATGAGCATATATTTCTTGTTTAGGTGGGCCTGGTAGTGGTAAATCAGCACAAGCAGACCAACTGGTGGAGAAATATCCAGGCTGGGTAAATGTTAACCTTGGCCAACTACTAATTAGTGAAATCAAAAACAAAGCAGCAGATGAACAATGGAAAGATATTGAAGATTTGGTTGTTAATGGAGAGCTTGCCACAGAGGTAAGGATGTATGTAAAAATGAGAGAGCTTTATTTGACCATGTCAAATCATGACCAAAATCTAAATGTGACAATTTTATCTTTTATTTAAATGTGACAATTTTATCTTTTATTTAAATATGACAAACTTTATCTTTTATATTATATAAATGTGAAAATTTTATATTTTATTTAAATGTGACAATTTTATATTTTATTTAAATGTGATCATTTTTATCTTTTATTTAAATGTGACAATTTCATATTTTATTATTAACTGTAGAAATTAAAATCTTTTATAATAAGTGTACAATAGTGATGGAAATGTCTCACTTGAGCCTAGAGCCAACAACATTTAAAAATGAATGCTTTTTTATGCTTAACTTAATGATTTTAATAAATTACCATTACATTGACAATGAATTTCAATAAATGTCCAAGGAACCGATCCAATTATATACTTATTTTATATTAATCTTTTTCTTTAGGAAGTCACACTGGCAATACTGCATGATACTCTAAAGAAAAACATACATGCCAATGGTTTTATTATCCAGGGTTTTCCCAGAGACATGGAACAGGCTCAAGAGTTTGAGAAGAAGGTTTTTGACATAGAATAAATTTTATCTTTTACTAGTATACTCAATAAAATCATTTTTTTTACCTCAATAAGCTGGTTTTGTTTTATCCAGATGATTGGTCTAAATTTAATTGTTCATTATATAAAGAGCACAATTATCATTCTGCAAAGACAAAACCAGAAAAATATAAAAGTTATAAACATTTATTTGAAACAAATTGTAGAAGATTCACCCCCTTTATGTTTTCATTCAGATAAGTCGTATTGATGCTGTGATACTTCTGGACTGTGAAGAAGACAAGCTGAGCAGAAACATCCATGCACAAGGGCACAAAAATGATGGATTAAAACTATCTTCCAGTGCATTGGCTAAAAGATTGGAGATTTTCAAAGAAAAAACTCTCCCAGTTCTCAAATCATATGATGATGCTGGAAAATTGTACATTGTAAGTATTGTTAGAGTAGCTCATGTTGACAGGAGAGGAATAAAGCTCTTACTATATTTTTTGTAGTAGCATTTATTGAACGGAATTCAAACTACTTGACTTTGAGGGGTACAAACCAGCAAGAAACATTATTCAAGTTTGTATTGAATATGTCTCACACATTTCCACCAATTTTAGGAGATAGCAATGACTTAAACTGCATCAAATGTAAAAATAAACTATTTTTTGATATTGATTTCTTGGCAATAACTTTAAAAAATACTTAACATACTCATACTTTTTCTGGTACATCAGTAATTATACCTAATATAGAATTTTTACATTTTTAAACTTTGCCAGTAAAGTCCCAAACATAACTATACTATATTATACTATATGCTACTTACTGACTAGAGGCTCTGTAACACTATTGACCTTTCAAGACATATACTAAGCTTTTTCTTCTTCTTCTGTCTGCTTCTCTGTGGAGGTGTTGCAGGGAGGTACAGATTTTTATAACTATAATTAAAGTAAAGAGTGTGGAAAGATATAAAATTGCCTGTTTTTGTCTTGAAATTAAAAGCTACTTTTTTGACAGAGGCCTATACATTTTAAATTTTTTTATTTCAAATGATCTCTTAACAATCACAATAAAGTTTTTTTAAATTCTTCTGTGGGTAGCATAAGTATGCAATTTTGTACAGTTTTAAATGAAAGTTCTCATGGATAAAATTTATTTTAAAAGGAATTTTTGTTGCATGTTTTGTCAAAAATGTGCATTCGCTATTGTAAGCTTTGATACTTTGTTACATAAAAAAAAATTATTTCTCCCAATTTTTTTGAATGTTAAATATTTCAATTGTTCACAAGTCAGCAGCAATCTCTTTGATATCTTATTAATTAAAATATTTATTTATCAAACTTTAACTTAATAGAATATGAATCCCCATTTTATAAATATATGTGAAAAATAGTTGCTTGCTTTCACTAATTCAGAGGAAAACATTAAAACGTGTATTATTTTGTTAATTATTTCTGGAATAGGGTTTATTTTATATTATCATATGTATATTTTTTATGAGTAGGATATGAGCTGTAAAATAATTCAACTATAATTATTTATATAATGAATTAGTAGTAACCAATATAAAGTGAATGCATTGTTATCAAATTTAAAAAAGAATTGTGATAAAATATCATTTATTCATTTATCTCTTCCAGGTTGATGGGGACAAAGATGATGAGTCTATCCAGGAAGAACTTTCTTTTATTTTTGATTCATTGATACAGAACTTGGAAAATGGCAGAATACCTTGTGAGTAGCTTCTAAGTGGAATGGAGTTTTCAGAGAGGAGAGAATTGAAGGGTGAAACTTGTTGTATATTGTGATCCTATTAAAATTAAACAATGTTAATTTCATGCAAGACCGTGTGAATTGGAGGGTAGGTAAGCCTACTTTGTAAGTCTCTTTTATTCTTACTTATCTATTGTCTTTTATCTATTGTCTTTTTATTGCTGTTGAAGGCTGTCAGCTGAAGCATCTGTTGTTTTGTTTCTTCTTTCTTCAGCTGTTCCAAAACCCTGTGTATACTAGTTCTTATTAGATATTATTATAGAACTTCTAAACCATGAAATAAAATTAAAAGAAGAAACTGAGCTGATAGAAAGCTGAAATCTGAGGTCTATTGTACAAAGAAAACACCAAGAAATCACTTAATTTGTTAAAACAGTGAAATTATAACATGGCAAACATCAATGTGATCAAAGCAGAACACTGAGTTGAATTATGATTATTATCCTTTCATTCATCAAAGCTGTTTAAAAAGTTTTTTAAAAAATGCTTGTTTTCACAAGAAATTTGGAGTTAAAATATTTATTTTCAATATAAGTTATGTATGTTTTGCTCTCTCTTGTGGCTTACATGCTAGAAATAAATCTTTTGATATATTTCAGCTCCACCTAAAGGACCACGGCCTGCATCCAGTAGATGGGCAAGAAAAATTTCTTCTCCACCAGCATCATCACCATCACCTTCACCTTCATTATCTTCAGCACCTCCTGGTTCACCTGAGCCTCCTAAGCAGAATAAGGATGACATTAAATTTCCCACTGTTGTTTACATTCCTCCTCCAGAAATCAAGGTCAAAGATGAAGGTCGTAAGCCTGGCCTACCAGAAGCCCCCATCATATTTCTGGCAGGTGAGCATCAACAGGATTGGCTGCCCAACTTGGGGAACGTACATCGTTAAGAACCTTTAATTTACATAATGAGGAATCCATCATATTTCAGAGTAATATCTGATGGTTCATACCAGACTTAAACACATATTTATGAAATTCAAAATGTTTCATGCCTTTTTGAAAGTTTCACCTTAAAAGCTCATTTTAGTAATATGAAATGTAATATTTATTAACTTAAATTTAATGTTTTTTGGGTTTACTTAAATTATTGTACAATAATAAAATATTCCAAAAATTGTATTAAAATTTCAGGTGGTCCTGGCTGCGGCAAGGGAACTCAGTGTGAAAAACTTACTGCCAGATATCCAGACATTATCCACTTATCCATGGGAGATATCCTACGCAAAGAGATTTCTGAAAGAGGCTCTGCAGATGAAAAGTGGGCAATGGTCACAAAGTTGTTGCGGCAGGGAGAAATGGCGCCAGTGGTAAAAGTTTTTATTGTTGTTAATATTAAGATTAGGTCTTAAAAAATATTGCGTTGCCTAAAATATTTAATTTTATACATCCAAGATAAAAGCCAGCTGTCCATCCCTACAATTTTTCCAGCCCGTAATTGGCCTGAATTTAATGAAAGTTATTACATGAGCTGACATTAACATTTTCATGCTGAAGAGTTTTGTACATGCCATAGCCTTATCTTCATGTACTTGCTATCATGGTTAAATTCAGTATCGATCTCCAGAGTATCTAACTCTTACAATTTTTTTGTGATTTTTATAAACTTTTTGTTTGAATTAACTTCAGGATGTGACAGAGGAGCTTCTTATAAATTCTATGAAAAAACACCCAGATGCTAGAGCTTATCTGGTTGAAGGCTATCCTCGGGATGCATTGCAGTATGAAGACTTCAATAGAAATGTAAGGAGTCAGAATTCCGATTCCTAAAAATGTTTTTAACTCCAAAAATTAGGTCTCTTGCTATTATGCATGATTCCCTTACTATCTTAGAATTAACTTGTATTAAAAATAGGAAATGAGTCATTTCCTGTTTACTTTCATTTGCTGTAGTCAATGAGATTAACAACACCTGCCATTCAGTATATCAAAGTTGATGCAGTAGGAATATCTTCATTACTTTTGTTACTTCATACTTCATGCTAAGGATATTGGCTCAGCAGTAAATAAGCTATCACACTTCTTTAACCCTTATGCAAAATTAGATTTGAATGATTTTTTAAAAAAATATTCAGTCATGACTTTATTATAAAATATAAATATATCTAATTTTTTAAGGTCAAACAGTTTAAAAACCATAAAAAATATTTGTATGTTTCCTTACTCCAAAAGAGATTGTGTCAATATCCGACTGTCTGAATGTTTCACAGATTGGTGGCCACTCATTCACAATTTTATTAGACTGTGAGGACAGCTATTTACATGACCGACTTGTCCTGCGTGGTGCCAATGGCACTGAAAGAATTGATGACAACATTCCAGCCATCGAGAAAAAATTGGCCTTTTTTGCCAGAAACACTCTGCCTCTGTTAAAAGCCATAGATGATGAACAGAAGTTGATAGTTGTAAGTGTTAGGAGTTAAAAAAATCTTATCTCTGTATTTCTTTTAATTCATTTTAATAATTTGCTATGCATAATTTTTATTTATTTTTTAAAATTATAAACAGCCATGTAAACTTTTCAACTAAGAACTGTGTAATGAAGAAAGATAATTTGAAAGATTCAGTTTTAGACTATCTATTTCTTTAACAAATCTTTTTTTTTAAAAATAATTCTGATATCTAGTAGGATTACAAAACAACTATATTATTTATTTTGGATGCACCTGAAAAACAGCAATATTTTGATTTAGATTATGAATGAGTTAGAAAAAATTATACATATATTTTCCCTATGTAAATTTGTAAAATCAAAAGAGATATAAAATACGATACGAAAGTAAAATTTTGAAGCAGTACCATAAAAATATCTAAAAATTGTCAAAATTAATGGTGGCTTGCCCATTTCTCCTTCTTGTCCTTATCCCATTTTATACTCATGTCCCAATTCTGCCCATGGGTCTGGATTTTCTGATGTATGCATTTTTGATGCAACAAGTTCAAAATAAAATAATGAATATGATCATTTTTATGTGTGTTTTGCTCTTCACATCCACATGACCTGATAGTCATTCAATGTTTTACTTTTTCATCATAAGACTATGAACTTTTCGCTGTGATAATAAATTAAAAATACTTTGACAGATTGATGGAGACAGAGATGAGGATGAGATTTTCTATGATATTGTCAAATGTCTTGACTTCAGCTTGTATGGCGTTAAATTGGATGAGGTAAGAGTTTCAGATTTTTTTGTTGCCAACTCTCCTGACTTCTTGTTGCACAGTGTTATCTATAGTAAAGTGAAAGGAAAGCTCTAAAAAGGTAATGAAAGAGTTTATTTCATCCAGCGATATCTCCATTTCACTTTTTCTCATATTCTTATCTTTATTTTAAAATTTTTTGATTTTTAAACATGAATTTCCTTAATTATACTTTATAAATCATACGTGCCTGCATGTAATTATACGTTCCTGCATGTAATGATGTGTTTCTCAGACCTACTTGCGTATGGTGATTATTTATGATTTAATATTTGTCAGTAGTCAACCTGAAGCCACTAATTGATGAATACCTCCATTGACAAGCATTGATAAACTTAACATATGCCATTATATGTCCATACCATTATATGTCCATATCATTATATGTCAATACCATTATATGTCCATAATATTATATGTCCATACCATTATATTTCCAGTATGTGACAGTTTCACTTGTTTTTCTGAATATTTTCACTGTCGTAAAGAATATTAATAATTTTTTTTATAACTATGTGAAGAAAAGAGGAATATTTATATATTATTTACTGAATATGAATTGAATTTTTAATGCGTAGCAGAAACTGGGAAACTGGTAGGTGAGCAGCTCAAAAGAGAGGAGTTTCATACAGAATTTTAATTCCACTTTACATTGACAGTCTATAAAACCTAGTCATTACTCCCATCAATTCTTAGAGCAAATAAAACAATGATCAGCCAGAAATTTAACTTACCCTGGCCTGTCAGACCATTCTACAACCTTTGGGCTGAAATAAATCTATTTTGAGACTCAGATAATGAGGAAATTCTTAAAGGCTACGCCATTTTAAATTTGAGAAAGCTGTTAAACTCTAAGAGTATATGTGACAGCACTTTGAGCGTACAAGTGGAAGCACTCTGGGCTTATAAGTGCTGGCACTTTGGGAGTTTAAGTACTCTGGGAGCATACGTGCTGGTACTCTGGGAATATAAGTGCTAGTACTCTGGGACTACCAGTACTCACATTTTCTATAAGATTTGCCAGCCTTTAAACAGTAGTCTTACAGACAGTCCTAAACCATACCGTGGCTCTTTATTGATTAATATATAATAGAAAGAAAATAAAGTAACCATTTTACCAGAGGCGTAGCGAGGGTGTTTGGCACCCAGGGACAAGATTCGCGCCCGGGGACAAGATCCATTTTAAAGCGCCCCCTTTTTCTTTTTTTCAACTCTCAAACCCATTATTTTCATCAATAATACAATATCAAAGCACATTTTGGCGCCCCTAGCTAGCTGGCGCCCGGGGACATCTGTCCCCCCCCTGCCCCCACCTCGCTATGCCTCTGCATTTTACCGGAGTTCAGACGTCATTCATGAAAGCTCGCTGGGTGACATCCTTTTTTTCACTCAGTAGGCCTACTATTGATATAAAACATGTGGTATAAAACAAGGGGGGGGGCGGTTGTGAAAAGGAAAGAAAACAGAAGCAATATATATATGTTCCCTATATAAATATAAGAGATTTTGATGAATGCCAAGTGCTTTGATATATATGTTCCCTATATAAATATAAGAGATTTTGATGAATGCCAAGTGCTTTGATATATATGTTCCCTATATAAATATAAGAGATTTTGATGAATGCCAAGTGCTTTGATATATATGTTCCCTATATAAATATAAGAGATTTTGATGAATGCCAAGTGCTTTGATATATATGTTCCCTATATAAATATAAGAGATTTTGATGAATGCCAAGTGCTTTGATATATATGTTCCCTATATAAATATAAGAGATTTTGATGAATGCCAAGTGCTTTGATATATATGTTCCCTATATAAATATAAGAGATTTTGATGAATGCCAAGTGCTTTGATATATATGTTCCCTATATAAATATAAGAGATTTTGATGAATGCCAAGTGCTTTGATATATATGTTCCCTATATAAATATAAGAGATTTTGATGAATGCCAAGTGCTTTGATATATATGTTCCCTATATAAATATAAGAGATTTTGATGAATGCCAAGTGCTTTGATATATATGTTCCCTATATAAATATAAGAGATTTTGATGAATGCCAAGTGCTTTGATATATATGTTCCCTATATAAATATAAGAGATTTTGATGAATGCCAAGTGCTTTGATATATATGTTCCCTATATAAATATAAGAGATTTTGATGAATGCCAAGTGCTTTGATATATATGTTCCCTATATAAATATAAGAGATTTTGATGAATGCCAAGTGCTTTGATATATATGTTCCCTATATAAATATAAGAGATTTTGATGAATGCCAAGTGCTTTGATATATATGTTCCCTATATAAATATAAGAGATTTTGATGAATGCCAAGTGCTTTGATATATATGTTCCCTATATAAATATAAGAGATTTTGATGAATGCCAAGTGCTTTGATATATATGTTCCCTATATAAATATAAGAGATTTTGATGAATGCCAAGTGCTTTGATATATATGTTCCCTATATAAATATAAGAGATTTTGATGAATGCCAAGTGCTTTGATATATATGTTCCCTATATAAATATAAGAGATTNTCTCTCTCTCTCTCTCTCTCTCTCTCTCTATATATATATATATATATATATATATATATATATATATATATATATATCAAAGGAATGCATTGTGTTTTTTTTTTGTGCCACATATTTCGGTACGCTAAAATTGCCATATAGTTTTTATAGACAAATCTATATCTACTTCCTCTCAAATGCCGACACCCATTTCAAATAATGTAGATTAGTACAAGCATCGGCAGCAAATCGTCGGATCATAGGGATGTGAAGATAAACTCTCACTACAAGTATGCGTTCTTCTAACGGCTTCGACCCAAATACATTAATTACAACTCCAAACAGCTGATCTACGCGCCTGCACGTGCCAGAAATACCGTGTGTGCCTTGTGCATCCCGTCCCAGCTCAACTACTGTCTGGCTCGATACTTGGGTAGCCGGTTAGACGCGCGCTCCACACTAGATACACACATTCACATACGTGAGTGGTGATAGTAGAACTGGTTCCTGCACCGGAGGCGCGTGTGAGAGGGGATTTCTAGTATTGATTGGGGCTTTTCAAAATGCCAGGAATTATTGGGAAGTGTTTTCCTTGCCTGAAGGTAAATAAACACGTGTTATTCCGTTACCTCACTGACCAATCACGGCATCGACTGATTAATTGACGATTGTATATTCGGCGGGTAGGGTAAACTAGTTCTAGCTGTTCTGTTGCTTTGTGGGTGGGGCTAAGGGGGTGAGAGTGCAAGGGTCAACCACATTTGATTGATTTGTTTAAAATAAAACAGTTTTACTGGTTCGGATCGGGAAGAAGACAGAACAGGGGGGAAGTGGCTAGAACAGGGAGGAAAGGGAAGAACATGGGGTAGTAGGTAGAATATGGAGGTGGGAAGAACAGGGAGAAGTGTGGAGAAGAAGACCCACAATGGAGAAGAGGACCGTAAATGGAGAAGTATGGAGAAACGGCTGTAGATGGAAAAGTGGGCAGAAAAAGGAGAAGTGGGCTGAAAAGGGAGACGCGGGCAGAACAGGAGGGAGAAGTTGGCAGAACAGAAGTGGGCAGAACAGGGAGAAGTTGGCAGAAAAGGGAGAAGTGGGCAGAATAGGGAGACGTGGGCAGAACTGGACAGAACGAAGTAATGTAACGTTTGTAAGGGTAAGTCTTCTTCAAAATGTCGGTGGAAGGGGTGTGCTTTGTGGGCGGAGCTTCTTTTTATTGAGGCATGATGACCGCCCCACACACACACATGACCGCCCCACACACACTCTTGAATTGAAATCGTTAAGTTGTATTTCAAGAAAACGCAGTATATTAATTATTTTTTTCATTCAAGAAATAATGTCTAACATTCTACAACTTCTAACATTTTACAAATCCTAACATTTACCAGATCCTTATATTCAACAAAACAACCTTTAAAAATTCTTGTGCCTGTATGATTAAACATCCTCTAAAATTCTAAATCTAATATTCTACACACGTTTATATGTAGCTGTGTATGTCTTTGCTTACAAACTACATTGTTCACCTCAATCGTCTCAACACAGATATGTATATCCCATATCCTTTTAGATAGTTTACCCACTGCTGAAAGCGAAAGCCCGTTGTACTAAAACATAGACACCTGTAGTGTGCATCTCCCTGTCATTCATTTTACAGCTCTGGGAAGTCATCACACAATAATGGGAAGTCATCACACAATAATGGGAAGTCATCACACAATAATGGGAAGTCATCACATGACACTAATGGGAAGTCATCACACAACACTAATGAGAAGTCATCACACAATAATGGGAAGTCATCACACAATAATGGGAAGTCATCACACAATAATGGGAGGTCATCACACAACACTAATGAGAAGTCATCACACAATAATGGGAAGTCATCACACAATAATGGAAAGTCATCACACAATAATGGGAAGTCATCACACAATAATGGGAGGTCATCACACAACACTAATGAGAAGTCATCACACAATAATGGGAAGTCATCACACAATAATGGGAAGTCATCACACAATAATGGGAGGTCATCACACAATAATGGGAGGTCATCACACAACACTAATGAGAAGTCATCACACAATAATGGGAGGTCATCACACAATAATGGGAGGTCATCACACAATAATGGGAGGTCATCACACAACACTAATGAGAAGTCATCACACAATAATGGGAGGTCATCACACAATAATGGGAGGTCATCACACAACACTAATGAGAAGTCATCACACAATAATGGAAAGTCATCACACAATAATGGGAGGTCATCACACGACACTAATGGGAAGTCATCACACGACACTAATGGGAAGTCATCACAAGACACTAATGGGAAGTCATCACACGACACTAATGGGAAGTCATCACACGACAATAATGGGAAGTCATCACAAGACAATAATGGGAAGTCATCACACGACAATAATGGGAAGTCATCACAAGACAATAATGGGAAGTCATCACACGACACTAATGGGAAGTCATCACACAATAATGGGAAGTCATCACACAATAATGGGAGGTCATCACACAACACTAATGGGAAGTCATCACACAATAATGGAA